CTACACTTTAATATGTTTTAATTAAGTTTCTTGATTATTGAGATTGTTTAATCTTACTCTCGTTTATTAATATCATTTTAGGAAATGACAAGGATAAGGAAAAGGGGAAGGCATTGATGCCAAAGAACTAGAACTTATCTTGTAAAGTCTCTAGTTAATCTATGTGTAATTGACATTATTTTTCTAACATTAGGGGCTTTTCATATTGATTTATGTTTATTTGAAATTCACTTGTAATGGTAGTCTTAAACTTTGATTTTAGGCATTTTTAAAGTGTCTTGAAAATAGTAGAGTCCCAACCCCTAAATTGACTATGGTAGTGGGCCAAGATAGTTTGAACAAATATATTTTAACAAGTTAAATGAGTTTTACACATTTTAAGTGATTATTTAACTTGAATGCAAAATGTTACATTTTTGCCCCCTCATTATGTGTCTTATAGAGGTTGAGTGGTCAATTCTTGTATTAAGAGTTGTTTGATACTTTTGACTATTTGGATAAATGTATTAGGACTCATTGAGTGTGATTTAAGTCTTTGTGTGGGCTAATGGCTTATGGTTTGATATTTGGACACTTGGTTGATGATTTAGAGGTAAAAATGTAAAGTTTTAGTTCTGGGTGTCCAAATTCCTCATCTGATGTCGAGTTGATGTGAAACTAAAACTATTAGTTAGATTATGAAATTTTTGACATGTAAGCACTTGAATCACCTCAATCGAAGGTCTGAGTCAAAAGTTATGCATGTTGAAAATTCATGGTTGACAGCTATCATGACATATGTTGTCATGAAGTCTTGGCCACGGCTTAAAGATTGTTGGCAACAGCCAAAGGGTGGCTGAGAGCATTTGGCCACAGCCAAAAGGGAATTGGCTATAGCCAAGTCTTTACTGGAAGTGTTGGCCGTGGCTTTTTATGCTCTAGTCGCAACTAAGTACCTTTATTAAGCAAAGATGACTCTTTTTACTTCATTTTGACTTATTTTCAACTCTAGATATTCATGCTTCCCAAATATAAACTTTATGAATTTATTTTTTAAAAATAATAATATAAACTTTAAAAAAAGGCCCTTAGTTTAATATGCATATTAAAAGTCCCTACAATATGCATATTATGTGAGATCTGGAACCATAAAAAACATTATGCTAGGGAATTGGATTCAATATGTATTGATTTTTTTAAATGGAATCTTTCAATTTCTTTAGACTAAAAAAAAACTTTATGCTAGTTTAATATGAATTTAATAAATTCATATTAAACTGTAAAATTTTAAAAGTCCCTATAATATGCATATTATGTGAGATCTGGAATCATAAAAAACTTTATGCTAGGGAATTGGATTCAATGTGTATTGATTTTTTTAAATGGAATCTTTCAATTTCTTTAGACTAAAAAAGAAGTAACTGAGTAAAAATTACATGTTAATTGTATAATAAAAACTCGTAACTTTTAAGATAAGATTTTAAGCTCAAGTTTTGTGAGTGAAAAGAACCAGATTGAAAGAAATTTTTTTTATCAATTAAGGCCTTAGCTACATTGAATTAGAATTAATTAATAATAATAATAATAGTTTATACTAAATAACGATTCATTGCAAAAAAAACAAGAGTAATTAGGTATCTCTTCATGAATTTGTGTTGTTTAAAATAATAGATTTCTATTTACTATATAATTTTAGGCAAATTACATGTTTTAGGGAAATTTGAATTTTTAAGAAATAAAAATAAAATGAATATTTTAAAATAATTAGAATTAATGATATTTTAATACCATAAATTCATTAAAAAAACCAAAAAAAATTGAAGTTTTGTATGAAATGTGTCCCAAAATTCAATTAAAAATCCAAATATATATATATATATATATATAAGGAAGATATGTACAATCAAACTTATGGAATTATTCTGTCAAAAATTAAATAACTTTTATTGTGAGACGGTTCTAGTTTCTGAATTGGCAATGAGAGTGAATTTTGGGAGGTTTCGCTTGATGAAGAAAGGGAAGGAGCCATGCTGTTCCCTAACTGAAAATAACAGAAAAAAGATTCGCTCAAGGACTTTTCCGGAAACTACTACCAAATGGGAAACGCTCCTCTCTTTCCTTTCCACGGAGGCAGATTACGGAAAGTGAAATGACCATTCTGTCTTTACTCTTTGCCCTTTTCTCCATTTCAAAAAGCTTTTTTGAATTTCAAAACCCCAATTACTTGCAAATGAATCAAACAAATTGTGAAGGTTCCTTTTGTTTATCAAACAAATGAAGTTTCCCCTTTTTCACTGTGTACTTTAAATTGTTGGTGCGTATGTTCCTCCTCTTTCTAGGATATGACAAAGGCAATATGTTCAATCATTCTCAATTTCCTTGTCATTTTATAGCATAAAGGTTATATGATGAAACCATAGGATAAAATTTCAAGAAAGAGAATGATCATATAATGACTAAATACAACCCAAATGTTTGAATTTTAAAAAATGGAGCCAATTACCTTGTAATGTAGTGACACTTCTCCAAACTTTTTTGTTCATCATGTATTATATGCCTTTTTTATATTAGTTAATAGTTTTACATTTATTTTAAAAATCAAGTGACGTAGACAATTTTTGTTTTTCAAAATTAATTAGTTTTATTTTATTTTATTTTCTAAGTTACTTCCACTTATGTTAATATTTCTTCCAAATCACAATATAAGACACGATTTAGAACCCTTACTAGGTTCAAAATATATAGCATTATATAATTTTTATAATTATTTTTTTAACTATAGTGCTCTTACTTTATTTATTATTTTTTTAGAAAAATGTATCAAAATTTTAATCATCATTATCAAGACACTTGTATAAAGTATTTAACGAGGGTATAGTTGAAAATGTAATTTTTTAAAAAAAATTATGGTTTTAACTAATATTTTTTAAATTTTAAATTAGTTATTAATGCTTTATATTTTGGTTTGGAGGAAGTATGTCACAATTGTTTTGACAAAAAAAGGCCATGAATTTCACAAATAACTTTAAATTATAGTTTAAGCTATAAACCTCCACGGCTCATTTCTCATGTTGCATATGTCTCATAATTTAAATTTAATACTAATATTTCATGTTTTATAATTATAATTAGTTTCTTTGATCTTTGTTATATATAAGAATATTTTAACAATTTTACCGGTATTAAGAAATTAGTTAAAGTTAGGAAATGTCATTATATTTGTCCAAAATTTTAACGAGATTTTGATACCGTCACCGAAGTTGATTAAATTATTGTTCTCTTGTGTTAAATGGAGAAAGGAAACAGAGAGTCAAATAACCAAAAGGTAAATGAAAATTATAAATGCTAAAATCGTCCTAAATTATAAGATAATTTTAAAAATATTTTATTATCTCAAAATATAAAATAATTTAATAAAAATAAGGTTTTATTATTAATATTACCTATCATGAAAGTAAAAAATTGAAATGATGTTAGTGTAATGATTAAGTATGCAAATTTAATTTCACCAAAAAAAGTACGTAAATTTAAAATCATATCAAACCAAGGGTCTTTTTTTAAAGTTTATATTATTATTTTAAAAAAATAAATTCGTAAAGTGTTGTAATTGAATTTTATTAATATATGTAATTTTTATTTTAAATTGTCTAATAATTTAAAACAGAGAGAGAACTTGACATAAACTTGAGAAGTTTTTATGATAAGAATTGAGCAACTCTTTTAAAAAGATTTTTAGTTGAAGGACCAAAGCTAGAATTTGTTTTTGAAAATAAAAATGCCATACATTTTACTTTTATATATTTCCTTCATTAAAGAATATAAGACATTTTTTGAGGAGTTTGATATTAAAAAATATAAGATATTTTTAATCTTTTGAGATGTAATTATTATCTTTTTTTAAAAGTGCCCCTATAATGATGACTTTATATTTATTGTAAGATATTTAATAGGGATATATATAGAAAGATAGGATTAGTTAAAAAGTAGATAACTACTTTATTAGGAGGTGTGATTTGGTTAAAAATGCTTTGCATTTTTAAATGAAGGGAGTAATAATTAAATTTTAATCATAACATAATACATGAATTTTTATATTTTTAAATTAAAAAATTTATTTTTAATTATATTTGAAGGGTTTAAACTATTAAAAACTATCCAGACCTTCCTTCTATCATTCTTGTCACATGACAATTAAAAAAAAAAAAGATCAAACTTCCAAATTAAAATTAAAATGCACATTTTCATATCTTTCAAAATGTAATAGAGGAAAAGCATATAATTAAGGGTGGGCAAAATAGAACCGAAATCGAAGATCAAATTGAATTGAATTGAATTTGGTCTATTCAATTTGGTTTGTTCGATTATACGGTAAGATTTGGTTTTCTTTTAATAAAAATTTTAATTGATTGATTCGATTTGGTTTAAAAATTCTTGAACCAAATAAATTAAATTGACTAAATCATATATAGTTTTCTTTTTATATTTTTAAAAAGGTGAATAAATTATCATTTAGGTGAGTAAGAAATATCTTTCTACCACTTATAATAGTAGTATTTTTATTTTGTTTAATGTGATGTTCTGTTTTTCACTTTTATAATTTAAATTTTAATGCAATAATGTTAAATTTTATTAATTTTTTCATGAATTATGGCACAACATTATTATTTTTTTATTGGGCCTTCAAGGAAAAAATGAATAGAAAAATATGTAAATAATTAGAATCTATAAACTAAAATCAAAGCTCATAAACTGATCGAATTAAATCATTATAATTAAATTTAATCAAGTATTTTGATTTAATTTGATCTAAATTTTTTATATAATTCAAACAATTAATTTTAAATAAGTTGAGATGGTATCGATCAAATGCCCTAAGTATGATGGTCACAAGATAAACTGAATCCCCACAGGTCACGGTGTTCATGTGGATTGTGGACCCCCAACAAGTTCAAATTATCGGGCTCTACCGGGAATCGGGCGCTACGCTACATATAAAACCCGCTTAGGCGCTTACACACACGTACACGCACTGTGTACTGTTTTCATTTCATTTGCTTGCGTTCCCTCGTCTCTCCGACGAAATCGTCGCCGTTCTCCCCGACATTGTTTTCTCTCATTTCGATTCGCAGAAATTTAACAGAACCAAAGTTTTTTTCTATACAAAAATGGTATTAAATTAATATTCCGAACTCTCTCTCTCTCTCTTTCTCTCTCCCCTTTTCCGGGAAAATAAATAACGACGTATTTCCTGGGAACGAGTGGGAGGACGGGATCCGAGGTTGTTTTTGGAGTTTTGCAACGAATGACCGGGATTTTCTCCCTCATCTCATTCTCTACGGAGGAGAGAGAAAGGGAGGGAAGATAATCTGACGAACCGTCCCTCGCGCGGTGGTTTGCTTCTCTCTGAGGTAGCGAACTTTCATAGCTTTCTTTCTCTTATATGAGACTGTAAATCAGCAATTGAGAATCCGAGGTGGAAAAGGCTGTTGACACCAATTAAGGGTTCCGAACCGAATGAATCGATTTCGACTATACTTATGATTTCATTGCTTGGTCATTGTTTCAGGTGACAGGCTATGAAAAGAGAGGGAAGGTTATGGAAGAAGAATTCCAAGAGTTCGTGGTAGAATCCTTTTTGGACGATGAGGAAGCCCTTGACCCTGATTATGAGTTCGACGCGCCTCGTTTCTGTGATTTCTCTCAGCCCGAGAGATTTTTGGATGCCGTGGAAGCCGAACAGTGGTTTGAATCCGCAGGAAGCTACCCGCCTTCACGTAAGGATTTTAAGAACACCGAGTTTTCTATATCTGATCAAAGTTACGGTGCTGTTAAATTATCTTGGATTAGGGAATAGTTATCTTGGTGTAAATCCTGGAACAAAGTCATGAATCCATAGAGAAGCTGCATTTTAAATTTCTAATCCAGTCTGCAGAATATTTTATTTGGTTCATTGTGCTGTGATAGCATATGTCTTGAAGTTGAGATTGGGAAAAGGCACCATGTGCACCCCAGCTGATTGGGGGAATGGCAAAAGCTCGAGTACCATTAGCGACAACTCTGGTCACTGCATGGAGCATGATGTTTCAGCAATTGAGGGCGATGACAGAGGTACAGTTTCCGGTGCACTGTATCATACTGCTTTGCTATTAAATTAATGCATGGCATTGATGTTTTGCTGCAAACCTATACGTTAACTGGGGAAAATTTCAACATCGTCCTGCCATCCAAAATATTTTGAAAAATGTGTTCAGACTTCAGAATGAATATCTGAATCACTAAGCAAGAAAATTGATGGCTGACTTTGATCATTAAAAGTTAAAACAGTCCACGGTGGCAAGTAATAAGTTATATTATAAAATTATAATCCTAATATTGTTTACACTGTTCCTATGCTGCACATGGCGAATTTGTTTTGTTCTTTTTTATATATAGTTTATTTTTCCTTTTAACTTTGCTGTGTCTTTTTATTATTAGTTTATAACAAAAAGTTTTGCAAGGGGATTTATTCTAGACTGATATATGGATTCTGGACCGCTGAAGACATACTTGGCAGTTGGCACCACCACGTCTTTATATTCTAAATTTGGGAATTAATTCTTCTTCAGAATTGAATTTTCTAATTTTTCATTAGAGTTTTGTGTAAACCAAATTTCTTTCATTTTGAATGTTTTATATTAATTTATTACTAAATAAATATAGATTTTCTTTCAGGACTTGAATGTCATAATCACGCATTAAAAGGTAAAACAAAGTCACACTTCAAGTCATCTCGTTCAAAAATTTCTACTTTAATGAAGCCCACGGCAAGTCATTTAGCCAAGCAAAGGAATCCTTCAGAAGTCCTCACCACCCTTCGAATTTCAAGGTGTAAATTATATCTCACCTTCTGATAACATTGGGCAAGGTTTTGCCTCAATAAGTGATTTTTTTTTTTAAGATTTGTCAATTATTTATGTAAATGAATATAACTAATGTTGAAGCACTCACCACTCTGGTATCCTTTCTTATGGAAAAGTGCAAAATATTTGGATATGAAACTTTCTCAGATTCATGATGTCTTCTATTATTTATTTATTTATTATGAACTCTGGCCATTTTCACTCTTTTTACAAATAAATTTTTCCTCTCATACTTGAGCAGGTCTCCGAGTCAGAGTTCTACAGATATCAAAGAAACCAAAAGACAGAAGCTAGAAGCCGGTTACTTGCGCAAGGTATGCTATAATTTATCTCCTGATGCTCTGGCGCCCATTCATTTGTATATTCTTCCTTGGTCAGATATCCTACACTTGCAGATTTATGCCTGTCTTATCTTACAACATTTTTTAACATGTTTACTTGCTTTGGCTGAATTTAATATTACAGCTATTTCTGCTCTTTTCTTTGTTATTTTCCCCTTATGTTATTACCTCTTGATATATTTTCAATTTATCACTATTAATGACGTTGCTGTGTTTATCTTTCTTTCGAAATAGTTCTTTTTTTTTTTTGGTTAATTGATATGACATGTTGCTTCTTATTTTTTTTTGATAGATTGCACATCTTAAGCATCAACCTCCCTTTATACATAAGAAGCCGCAGGTATGAAGTCTAAAAAATTATTATTAATTCTAGGTGGTCTTATATGTTGCTTTATTTCATACATGAAATGATTTAATTTAGTATCAAAGTAGAGGCAATATTTTCAGTAGTTTTGAATTGGTTGTGCAGGTTGATGCTGCTGACGTCAATTCAAGTTCTAAACCGAGAGTTACTATTCCTAAGCAATTTAACCTGGAAACAACTCGTAGAGCACAAAAACATCAGTATATCTTCTGGTTTTTTAATCCTCTCGTTGAAATACCATACATCCTCTCTTAAAAATTGCTTAGTAAATTGTGCCCTTTTCATTTTCAGGTCTAGAACTAACAAAGAATCAGGTGAATGTAGAAAATCAAGTTCTCATATGTTCAAAGCACTACAGTTAAACAAAAAGGTGGATATTTTCAATTTTTACCTATGAAAGAAATGGATTCAAAATTCGTAGGAATGTACATGTATAGTCTTCTGATAAGAAATTTTTGAACCTTGGCAGATCCTTGAGGGTCCTTCATTATCCTTCTGTAAGAAGAGGACACCACAACTGACAGAGTTTAATGTAATTAGTGTTTGCTAATTGTTTTATTTTTGTTGATTCACTATTTTATATGGACTCCATCACTAGCTTTATTACTTATTTCTTTTTTCAGGTATTCTACTTGAAGACATCCGAGAGAGCTATGCAACACACGTCTACCAATGTTAGTAATGTCACAGACTTTGCTTTAGCCGTCTCATCTCTGCAATTATTCTCTTTTATTTCTGTTTCATGTCAGTAAGATGATCTAGTTTTATATTAAGCATCCCGTCTGCTTATTCCAATGCTGAATTTTAAAAGGTCTTTCTAGTCTGATATCTTTTCTTTTGCAGGTTGTTCATAATTCTAATTGCAGTTTAAGCTCAAGCAGAGAAACGAGGGATCTCAGAAGGTATGGGTATCTTGATTTTGGAAAAAGGCGGGCTTGTTATATGTATTAGCAGTATACCTGAAGAGAAGGCTTACAAGTTATTCATGCATTTATTTTTTATGTTATTGGTTAATCATGTATTTTCTGTTCTACATGGTTTTTTCTCGTGCACAGACAAAACTCTAATGATGAATCGAGACAGGAGAGATGTAAACCTGTTAGCAAACTCAGAGGCAGCCCCGAAAAACTGGTAATTTATCATCATTGCTGTTTTAGTGTGGGTACATTTCTTTCTTTCTTTCTTTAAAGCCATATTCATTTGAATTTGTATTGTGCTGGTATCAGAGAAGTAAAGGTGAAAGAGGTGTCTTCCGAAATATTAAACAGGAAAATGTAATGGTACTGTATTCTATACTGTCTCTAACTGTTTCTTCGTTGTTCTGAATTTTTTATGTTGGCAAATGTGCTTGATGTTGTAATTTGTAAAAGTTCTCTTCTAATTTTGTCTTCTTTTTTCCCCCTCTTCAAAGGAGATAAATGACAAGAGGTTGGCCAATGAGCCACCTTCAGAATTATTTAGCAAGGTATTAACTTTAGGGGTTTAATCTTCTTCAGATTTGCCCATATATACACAATGAAATAGTTAGCTTCTAGGTTAGCATTCTTTCATTAATTCAAAGCCAATATAACAATAGATAACATTCATAAAAGCAGCAAGGATGCTTTTTATTCTTACATTTTCATATACATATTGTGGCTTGATTTCCAGCTCTCTCTGGGTTCTGAAGTCAAGCAGACTACTACAAAAAAGCAGCCAACATCTAAGGTTCTTCTTTCTCAGCATGCTTCATGAAAACCTATAGGAATATTTGTAAGTGTACATTGTATCTAAAGTGATGCATGAGTTCCTTCTTACTTATTCAAATTCCAGGGCTTGAAGGAGAACAGGCCCAGCTACTTTCATCTGCAGAACGAGGTATGCGAGTAGTGGCTGTGAATGCACACAATCTTTTAAATTCTAATGTAGTATGGTTATTGGCAGATTTAGTACATTATGAGAATATCTATCACCTAAACCACTAATTTTCTCTTGAATTCAACTTCTAGAGGATGAGCAATATCAAAGAAGAAAAGCATATGCCCTGTATGAAGCAGTACCTACAGTGTATGAATGAGAGAGCAGAAATAAATCAAGCACGTATGTTGGCAGGTAGAACCATATCTAAATATAATGTAATAATTAAACCGTTATGAGAGGTTTTTGCATAGGTGTCTTATTTATTTTTTAAAATGTACATAGAGCTTCTCCTAACTAAACATCTACTCAAAACTAATGAGAAATGTACCTAGAAAGAAAATGAAATAGATGCATTTCTCATGTACTTTCTAGAAAGTAAATGAGAAATGCATCTATCTTGTTTTCTTTCTAGAAAGTATTTTTCTACCTACCAAAGATTACATAATGGTCGATAGAAAGACTGTTCCTCAACTTTGCTAAAATAACACAAACCTTTTGATGTTCTGAGAAGGTTTGTGGACATTACTACATTTTAACAAGAAAAACATTTGTATCATAAAAGTAAGATTTTTATAATTTCAGCAAACTTTATGGGAGTTTTGTTTTAATCTTGGAAATAAATTAAAGTGTATATAGAATAGGCAAATCACTCTTAGGTCCCATACAAACAATCTAATTACAGCAAAATTTATGAAGTTTCACATTTTTTTATTGAAATTATCAATTTGCTATGTTGAAGTTATTAATTACAGCTAGATAGATTTTAGTGAAGGTTCATTTGACAAAATGGCAATAATTAACAACTATCGAACAGTAAAATACAACTTCAATAAAGGATATGTCACAGTGATTTTTGCGATTTCATGATAATTTTTTATGTTTAGATTCATAAATTGTTGATGTAGGATTTAAGAGTTATTTTCCTTAATTTTATTAGTGTATATATTTATCCCTGGTTTCGTTTGACAACTCATAGAGCTTAGTGATTTTTTTTCTTTTCTTGTTTGTTGACGCAGGAGGTTGTACATATGTTTAAACTACACAAAAATGTGGCTGCTTAGTAAAAAGCGAGATACGCTGAGCTTTAATTTATGTGGAAGATATCTCAGAGGAAGAAGCTGATTCTGCCGATTGGCGAAGATAAACATTAGGAAGTGGAAAAATGGATCTCAAGGCCAAGACTTGCATTGCCCAAGAAAACCCCGATAGTTTTGGGACCTATTTTTAATTTATCCAGACACGTGTTTTGGGGATTTTTCTTGTGTATCCTGAAACGTACGTTCTCTTGAGGCTTGACCTCACCCATTTTACCAAAAAAAAATAAAGAAAGAAAGAAACGAAAAGTTTAATGTTGCTGGGTTTTACTTTCATCTTCGGTGCAACATCACAATACTTATTACCCATCCTTGTTCATTATGAAATTTAGAGTTTAGACCAAAAAGATAAAAAGTATCAGAGTCTTGTTGGAATTAATACTGGGCTTATTTGGTTTACAAAATGAAATAAAATAAAATAAGCTTTTTAAATATGAGATATCAATGTGTTTTTAAATAAAAATTAATAAAAAATAAAGTTATAGTTATTAAGTTATCAAAAATATTCAAATCTCATCTGGGATCATGGCAACAAGTCTTATTTATTAAGTGAGTTGGTTATATAAATTGCACGATTCTATTATACTTTATTATCAATTAAATTTTTAAAAATATTATTAATTAAGAGTTCTTATTCAATAATTTTTATAAATATTTTTTTTTATTTTCCTCTATTCATCTTTATAAGGTTTAAGATTATCTATTCCACTTTTCTTATCACTATATCCCACAACTTTCTTTTTACATGACCAAATTATTTTAAATAATTTTATATTATTTTCCCTTTAATAGATATTAGATTCACTTTTTTCATCCATGCTCATTTCAAATTTTGTTTTTTTGTAACATACTCATTTCAATTATTCTAACTTTATAATCATGTTATTCCTTTAAAATTCAACCTTAATTACCATATAACATAACTTGTTTTATAGCAATTTGATAAAAAAAATTTTAAAATTTATTAAGTAACTTTCAATTATCAATAGCTTCTTTTATCTTTTTTTAGTTAAACCACCCAATATGAATAGTAACTCTAAAATATTTAAATTTTTTCATTTGATATATAATATGATCTATCAATTTCACTTTAAAATTATTATTTATTGTTCTTTTATTAAAATTAAAATATAAATATTTTATTTTACACCTATTCAAACAAAAACCTTTAAAATTCTTTTCCATATTATAATTAATTCCTTCTTTAATCTACACAATAATAACTACATCATTGACTGAAAAAAATAAAAGTCTTCTAGGAATTTTCCTTTTTTTTTTTTTATGATATGCTAGCAAGGTGAAACAAACAAAAACTTAAAAATAATTATGCAACCCTTGTAAAAGAAGTCCTTTGTTTGACTACAAGTTCTTATATTGCCCTTCATAGAGTTGATCATCAATTTATACGATCAGTTCGCTGCCAAATTTGCCAAAACTGATCGACCGAACAATGCGCATTTCATTGACCGAACCGAATCGAATTGTATTTATAAACCGAATTATGACCGAACCGAAATAAGATGGTTTGGTTCGGTTTCTTAAATCAGTTATTGCAGAATGCAGACAAAGTGATGGGACGCCCATAAAACAAAGTGAAAATGGAAGAGAAAAATGTAAGCAGAATAAGAAAATGGAAGATGAAAGAAGGAGAGGAAAAGAAGTGGCGATGATCAGACCCAGCAGAATTATTTCTATTTCAACAAGGAAGCATCAACGCAGTGACAAGAAGCTTGAGAAAAGAGAATGAGAGGAAAAAGCACCGCATACGAGAGGGAGAATGATAAAGTCGAGGGAGAACCAGACTACTTAATGGCTAATGGAAAGAGAGAGAACGATAATGTCAGGTGAGGTAAAGACTTGAGCGTGCGAGTTGGAGCCTTAGAGGCGGAGGCGTGAGGAAGAAGCTGAAAGGCTTAGGGTTAGTTAGATGTTTTGGGCCAAGGGCTTTTACTTTAGGCTTTGGTTTAGTATAATGAAGTGCTTCTATAGTCACACTGTCCAACATGAAACCAAATTAGTTCTTAAAAATATTAACCTCTAATTTTAATTTATATTCAATCACTCTTTCTTATAATTTCTTTTACATGACTCATATACTTAATCTCATTTAATAAAATTTAAAACAAATTCTCAAGTTGCAATGTCGATTACTCAAGTTAAAAAAAGAAAATCAAAGACATTTAATTAGTAGAGTTTACTAAACAATGTTTGATCAATGATTAGTTATTCCAGTGACAACGCAACTTCTCTTTCTTAAAAGAGGTCTTAGATTCAAACCTATTATTGATATGGTTTTGTGGATGAGTGAATGAATGTATCCCCCTTTTCTATATATAAGAGAAGGGCAAGTTAGGGGTAAAACCTTTTAAAAAAACATAAATTCCCCCGGGGTTGCTAGGTTAGCTCGTCAATCGAATCAAGACAATTTCGCAGGGTACAGAAACTTGGTATTAGCCAGCTAACCTTGACTCCTTTTATTTCTACACAACCGTGGCCTCTGTCTTGCTAAAAAGAAACCAGCGACATTTTATCTCTTAAATCCTAAGGATTGCTAAGTTCATAGAGAAGAAGAAATATTAACACTCTAGAATTCTAGAACATGATAAATGAAGCGCACGTGCTAGAACCATTCTAAACATTAAGCTGTAAGATTGGAATTCTAGTACAAATTGAAATAGCTATTTCCTATGGGTTCTATCCTCTTGATGGTCTTATCCTATTTGTCACCTGCCTAAAGAGAACACTAAACTTACGCTCCCAAAAAGGTCTTCTTTCTTTCATGAACAGGTCATGGATACAGACAGAAACTGAGTTAGAGGGTGTTCTTGGATATAGCATCCCCGAAGCGAATGAACCATTGAGCATCACACGAATTGTTGTGTTGTTGATGTTGTAGCAGTTCCATTTTTGGACATCGTTGCCCCTTCTCGATCACAAATCGTGCATAATCGATGGTCTTTGCTGGCGAGGCAAATGTTTTGCTGGGAGGTGCAGGAAGAAGAGAGACCAACACCTTGGCAACCTCATGCATGGTAGGCCTCTCAGATGGATTTCTTCTTGTGCAAAGCAGTGCGAGCTGAAAGGTCTTCCTCACATGGGCTTGATTTATGCAGGTAACAGAAACTTCAGGATCTACAGCCTCCATCACAGTGTCATTATCTGTCTTGGACAGTATCTGCAAAGTCATATTGACACAGCAGGAGAAGACTCGAGTTATATACCTCGGAAAATGACTTCTCTTTTAGCAACATGCAAAGTTCAGAGCTTGATTATTAGGTAATTCTCTACGAAGAGCTTTACTTCACCATTAAATTTGCTTTGAAAATCTCAACATTTTGAAAGATGGAATCTATACAGCATTATCCACCTGAAAAACCGGAAACGAATTCATGCAAGAAAGATATATATACCAAATGATGCAAGTTGGACTCGTTGTGCACTGCTTTCTTCCCAGTAAGTAGCTCAAGTAGAACTATGCCAAAGCTGTATACATCTGACTTTTCATTCAGGCGAGATGTCTGGGCATACTCAGGGTCAATATAGCCTATTGTTCCAAGAACATGTGTTGATGCATGAGTTCTTGTGGTTGAGATACATTTGGCAATGCCAAAATCAGAGAGATGAGACTCAAAGTTCTCATCTAGTAGAATATTTGAAGACTTTATATCCCTGTGAATAATTCGAGGGCTGCAGCCATGGTGGAGATAAGCAAGTCCCTCTGCAGCTCCCACAGCAATCCTTATGCGTGTTTCCCAGTCAAGTTTTACCTTCTTCGAGGGACCTGCTAGACAAGACAGTTTAAGGAAGAGATCTTACAAAAGGTCAAAACTTTGATGCAGTTTCTTAAATATTTGCTGTTATGTTCAAAAAAAAAAACGGAATGCATTGCATGAAGCTTCAGATTCTCCATGCACCATATCCATATCCAAGCAAAAGAAAAGCCTATTAGAAAACTTACCATGAAGAAGATCCCACAGAGAGCCGTTTTCCATATAGTCATAGAAAAGGAGGTTTCCATTTGGTGTCAGTGCATAACCATGCAAGGTAACAAGGTTTCTATGTCTTATGCTGCCAATGGTTTCAAGTTCTGTTTCAAACTCCCTTGTGTTGTTTGGATGCTGGTTGTATAGTCGCTTGATCGCAATCGGTCGAGAATTCTTCAGAGTACATTTGTACACTGTACTAGATGCACCATATCCTATGATATACTCCTCACTTAGGTTCTCTGTACTTCTCATTATATCATCATAGGAGTGCATTGCCATATCCATGTGAAGAACGACAAGTTTAGGGGAACCTAAAAAGAAACAAACTGAAAGTAAGAATTTGGGACAGCAAAACATTTCTGTAGAGAGATGTTTTACGTTCTAATATTTACACATGCCTTGCCCAGTTCCTCTGGATCTCTTCATCAATTGCATGGATTGGCTCAATCTGTACATTGCAACTATTACCATGGCCAACAATGTGAGGATCCCAAGTGTGAGACAAACAATTGCAGCCCTAGAAAAAGTTACTGAAAAGAAAAAATTATGAAGACATTGCTCATCATGCTGAAATACTTATTTGACCAACATAATTAGAATAAAAACAAGAAAAGCCTCATACCACTAGAATTTGGCATGTAAGGATCACATATTGATCCTAACCAATTTCCGCATAACAAGGGATTTCCAATGAAGCTGCAACATGTCAAATGGTAAGTAATTTATGAATAAAAGATGCAACAATTCCTAGTTTACACACCAATACCTGTCAGATGAAAATCGTGAGAAGTTCTTCATAGGAGGAATTGTTCCAGACAAGTTATTGTAAGAGACATTCCTAAAAAGTCAATAAACAAAACATTAAGCTTCAGAAGCAATACAGAAGAAATAGAGCACTATGAAAACTATTGGATGGGTATACTCACAGGGAGGAAAGACTGAAGCAGTTTGTTAACTGGTCTGGAATCTCCCCATGCAAGTCATTGTTGTTCAGAATCCTATTATAATTTTCAGCAAAGCAAAATAATGAACATCCTATCCAGAATGTATTCGCTGCAGAATGTTAGGACAAAACTACTTTTACAGTTAACTTACAGTGAAACAAGGTTCTGCAGCAGCCCGATTTCAGGAGGGATGCCACCTGATAGATTGTTGAAAGACATATCACTGGAAAAAGAAATAAACAATTGAACGTTAAACATTCTTAAATTACAAGTAGAGGCAATTGAATAGGATTTCATGAATGTAAAGATTAGAAAGATAACAAAAATTACATAATCTGGA